CGTGTGTGTGTGTGTGTGCGCGCGCGCGCACGCGCGCGTGTGTGTGTTGTGTGTGCGCGCACGCGTGTGTTGGTGTATGTGTGAGTATGTGTCGGTTTCTCTCTATATTTTTCTCTTCCCCACTCTGTCTCTCTTCTCCTCTCTCTATTTCTCTCTCTATTTCCTTCTATTCCTCCCTCTTCCTCTCTCGCGCACTCTCTCTCGCTCTCGCGGTCCTTTTCTACAGTGCTAATAGAGCTCTGCGGGTCTGTTACAAGCCTAATTACACACGACGGGCCGCGGAAGTCAACATTCTAAAAAGGTGGTACCATTTTAAAAAATAGATGCGTCGCACACCCCACTCCGACGTTACTACTCTACTATTAGTAATTTCCCTGCACCACCGCAAGGGTATGGCGATCGCTGATGGCGGTCGGCGCATGCACCCGTGCGTCAGATAGGAATTGCTTTCGTTCACCGCTGTTTTCTCCCACTATCTGTACACCCGTGATCACAAAACCCATAGTATTTAAGGCAAACCGTAGTTAGGTGGTGTACAACAGTGTAGTGGGAGCCTATAGGCAGCGGGCCTGAATAAGCATTGAACAGAAATAAATTTAAAATACTCGTCGCATACACAACATACACTTTATTCATGTTAAATAGCCACAGATTCAAGTTCTATACTCCGCTCGAAACATTTGCCAGCTATAATATTATGATGCGCATTTCTACAAAGTAGTCGGATCCCGTTTCAACCACAGGAATGGCCGACCGGTCACCATGGCTACGCCACTTGTCCGATTAGAACAACTACACGGCAATACCAATCTTACTTCTACTGCCTTCTAGACATCCACGAGGCATCTATCTTGCGTGCATTATGCAAATCAGTGCACTCTAGTGCCGAATTTTGCCGAAAAAATCAAAAGAAGGCATTTTCTAGGGACCAAATAGTGCGAGGCATTGGTGAGGAATATGCGGAACACTACTGTTGTACGCATAGAAATAATATAGATAACCTAGTAGTCTATCTGTATTATTTCTATGGTTGTATGCCACCTTTACGCGTGAGAGCGTGTATGACGGCCAACCGTGGCGGGCTGCGTCCGTATACGCAAAATGTTCACCACATCATAGCATTTAAATGTGATGGAAATGAAGCCTACATGCTCCTAGTTACTCCATGCACGCAACCTTTGTTCATGTATGACTATAGATACTTGTCCCCTCGAGATAAGTAGTGTTAATCACGGAGTTAAGGAGGAACTTAACGAAGAAGTTAAACAGGAACGTTCATCATGTCAGCAGGATTGAATAGCAACCGCTATTATTATTATTATTATTATTAATTATTATTAT